GTGCCAAGCCCTGCCCTCTGAGTCTGAAGTCTATTTTGGGGATTCCTCAGGGACTTCATTGCTTTGCTCCCCTTGCTGCTCTGTTGTGCTCCCTTCGTGGAGGGATCAGACTGGGCACAATTCCCACATCTTGTTTCCAGTGCGGCCCCTGCAGCACTGTGGGTCAGTGAGGGAACATCATGCTTCCTGTCTTTCTCTCCCTCCCTCTTAGTTTGCTCCCATGTGGTCTGGGCAGGCCTGCCACTCTCCCCAGGCTCTAACTTCCAGTGCAGTCTTCTGTAGTGCAATCTTCTGGTGAGTGGTCGATGTAGCTGGGGTTGGGGATGGCCCTGCAACTGGGGTCTTAATGAGCAGCCCTCTCAGATACAACTATTAGTCTCTCCTCCTTCTGAGGAAAGAAGAGTAATGAAAATAAAGGACACATGTGAACAACTAGTCCAATGGACTAATGGGCCACACAAACAGTCTCCAGGACCCCGAAACTGGAACTACCAGTATCTGACCAACTGCTTTGAAAGGGATCACATTAGAAGGTCTTAGGTAGAGTGGGAGGAAAAAACTTATGGAACAAAACTCAGACTCATAAAAAAGATCAGGTTTATGGGCAATCAGAGCCTCAGTCCCTCTGAGAGGGACTTTCAGGTCAGGCAATAAACTCACTTCTATGGCTCAATTTTCAGCCAAACAATAGACAGGTCTATAAAAGGTATAATAATACTACAGAAGTATGTATACATTAGAATAATCAACCATTTGGGAGATTTATCCAAGGACAAAGTTTGGAAGGGTTAGGAAAGAGGGAATTGGAAACAGGAAAGAGGGAGAGGAGGTGAGATAACTGATACAACATTGAGGGGAGTTGCAATGAATGAAATGAAACAATGTATATAAATTGCTGAATGTAAAAGTGATGATCTCTTTGATCTGCTCTGTAAAACTTTACCTAACCAATTCACCAAAAGAAGAAATGAGAAGAAAAAAATGTGTTACAGACCTGCTGAGCAAGGACACAGAAAGTGAGAACGCAGGGCTATCACGACACGACTACCAGAACGACTATACTGTGGAGCAGCTGGGCCTGCAGACTTACAATGTGACCTAGCAATGGCACTCCAAAACACACTTCCACAAACGGTCACAGTTGCTTTAGGCATAAAAGCCCCAAACTAGATACAATCTCAACTATCCTTCAAATAGTGAATGGACACACATCCTTGATATACTTATTAGTGGAACGCTACTTAGCCATAAACTGTGAAATGCAGTGCGGACACATGCATCTCCAAATCACTGTGCTAAATGAAAGAAACCAGACTGCTTTTTAATATGTGACCCTATTCATCAGAAATTATAGGAAAGGCACAATTAAGAGTAACAGAAAGACTTACTACAAAGAACAAGAGACACCATAGTAAATAAAGAATAGAAATTAGAAATAAGAAATGCAACTAAGACAAAGAAATAAAAAAGGTCTGAGGTCACCACAGCCCATGAAGTAGCTTTCAGAAAATCAAGCCAGATTCTACCCAAGCTGACAGATCTGCCTGCCCCCAATTTACAGATGTATCACAAAAACAATCGTGGGAAACTTCATAGATAAAGACCAATTCCTTCTACAGATATATTTCATGAAGAAAGAAAGTGAGAGGTAGGAGAAACCTGTAGGTTAAAAGCGTTAAGGCAGCCCCGAGGCCCAGGTACCACTATCTTTTGAGGCCTCTACATATTGGTGGCCATGACATTTAGAACCAAGAGCCACCGCCACAGCCATAAATAAAGTGTAGCGTCAAACCCCACCAGGGGTTCTACTCCCTCCTCACCAATTTCAGATATCTTGTTGCTCCCTTCTCTCTGGGTTTGTTGGCTCACTGCCAGCCAGCCCCCTCCCCCAAACCGTTGGTGAATGCAAAATATTTAAAGAGAAATTAATGAAGTGTCTCAAAGACAATAATTTTGGCCATGGTTCCTCTGGGCTACAGATAGGGTACCAAATGCCAGAAAGATGGTTAGGGGGTCTGGGTCAATGAGGATGCAATGCTGGGGTTTCCTGAACAACGGTCACTGTACATCATAATACTGAGTTTTGTTCCAGTACCAAGACGACAAATCCTCATGGATTTGTCTGCTGCACAGACAGACACTGTCAGAACATAGCCACTCCCTAAGCAAAAAAGAAGTGCTCTAAAGTATACATGTCATTTTATTTCATTCTTTTACCAAAAGTAGACTGAACATTAACTGAATATTTGATAGTATTGAAGAATTACTGCTAGCTTCTTGTTATAATAATGGGGTTATGGGCAAACAGTCACTTTCTTTTAGAGATAAACACTAGAGATTATAGCTGTTACACATTAGGCTGCTAACCACCAGGTCAGCAGTTCAAAGCCACAAGTCATTCTAGGGTATTATGATGAAGCTTTCTACTCTTGTAAAGATTTAGTTTTAGAAGCCCACAGGGGCAGTTCTACCCTGCTTGAGTAAGTACGATATTCGTGCAAAAATATCTATTTTTATTATCCGAACTACAAATATAGATAGATGTAGGTTATGTAGATCTCTGTTATTACAATATATTCCTCCAACAGCTCTGACCTGGAATATGGCAAGCTTTTAAAAAGTGGAAGGAAATATAACTCGCAAGGAAAACACAACCTTTGTAAATACTTGAGTAATTTCTATACTTGCGAAGACCTCAAATATAAAGTACAAGTGTATTTCCAAATGATTATAAATAAATCACAGAAATATAAACTGTCATTCATTGATTTTAAGCCCACATCAACAATCCAATTACTAAAAAAAAAAAAAAATCCAATTACTTATCAGAAGCAAGTTTGAATATATTGCATTTTCAAACAAATGGATCTACCATTAGATTGTAGATGTAAGATTCCTGAGGCACAATATTAATTAAAAAACCACAGGTGTTTCAGAATTAGAGGACAGCATTTTATTCCATCATGCCCTCTTCCTTAAGACTGAGAATTAACTTGTAAAGACTATGTCAGTCTGCAGGGATTACTCAGTCAGCAAGCACAGACTGTCTTCCACATTTCTGACACCAACTAAAAGCACATAACCACACCCCGCCCAGAGGGAGAACAGAAACCCGAGGGGACTCCTAGGAGACAGCGGTTGGTGTGAGATTTTAAAATAATTAACAATTTACAACCTATCAAGGGGCCATGATGGTTGTGGGGCGTGGGACAGGGAGAGAAAAAAAGAAGAGCGGATCTCAAGGGCTCAATCGATAGTCAATGTCTAGAAAAGGATGATGGAATATACATACCAATTTGTCGGATACAGTTGATGTGTGGGTTGTAACAAGAGTTGTAAGAGCCCCCAATAAGACGATTTTTTAAAAATAATTTTTAAAAACTTCCCAGTAAACAACACACACACACACACACAATATATATATATATATATATATAGTAGCAAACTGAAGTTCCCATGTTCCTAAGGCTCACCTTGTGTGGGGAAATCATTTCCCCAAATCATTTAGGAACATGGGGACTTCAGTTTGCTACTACAGACTAGTACATACAAATATCTGAGGCATAAGCAAGTATTTGTTGAATGAATAGTTTAAAAGCTAATGTTTTATTAATAAAAGGAATTCTTTAAGAATCAGTAAACACTGAAGTTCTGGTTTCCTTATACCATATGAATACGTTACCTGACAAGTTTTCTTAAGAGTCCCAGATTTGAAGCTGACAATTTGCCAAGGTCAAGGCTCACTCTCTATCCAGTATCTGCCAACACGAACATTGTCGACAGAACGTTCTCTTGTTGGATATAATGTACACTGTTATCTGAGGATCAAGCTGGGGGTTTTGATTTCTCACCTATTCTTGTTAAATTGGATGGCAAAGTCTGTCATGTGCTGCAAAGCTTTGTTGGTAAAGTTCATTTCCATATAAACGTGGCCTTGGCGGTGGATGAATGTTCCTGAAATCTCCAAGCCTTTAGCCTTTACTGCAGGCAGCCAAACCTACAAAACACAGCACAGAGCTAAACAGGACCACGGGACATTTTGCCACTGTCAATTACTTAATAAAAAGGAGGAAATCAATATTTTTATCTTCCCGGGGAATTACGATGAGTTTTATACCGTAATACCAAGTCAAAAATATAAAAAGTGTTGGATAAAGTTGTATTTTTAAAATTAAAAGGTCAATTTCCATTACTTAAGAATCAACCAGTGGTGACAGTGGCGATACCAGGAGGGTAGAGGGAGGGTGGGGTGGAAAGGGGGAACGGATTACAGGGATCTATATATAACCTCCTCCCTGGGGGATGGACAACAGAAAAGTGGGTGAAGGGAAACGACGGACAGTATAAGATATGACAAAATAATAATTTATAAATTATCAAGGGTTCATGAGGGCGGGGGGAGTGGGGAAGGAGGGGGAAAATGAGGAGCTGATGCTAGGGGCTTAAGTGGAGAGCAAATGTTTTGAGAATGATGAGGGCAACAAATGTACTTTACACAATTGTGCTTTACACAATTGATGTATGTATGGATTGTGATAAAGAGTTGTATGAGCCCCCAATAAAATGATTTTTAAAAAGAAATAAGAATCAAAAGGGAAATAAAGAATAGACACACACAATGAAAGTCCAATGAGTATGATGTATTTTTCTATTAGTAGTTTTGGTAAAAGGTTTAACTCTATTAATGAAAATATCAAGTCTTTGAAGACTTTTTATCAGTACCCAAACCACTGTCTTTAGGTGCATAATCAATCATTTCTGATGTATATATTAACTGCTGCTATAGTTTCAAGTGTTGCTTAAGCAATATGAATGCCTATTGTTTTTATATAGTTCATTCTTTACCCAGCTCTGTTCCCAGAATCTTATTTCTCCTGGTCTACCATGGTAACAGTATCAGCACACTCATGAGCTATTCTGACCACTAGAATACAATACTGACATCTCTGTGGGAGGTACAACCAGGCTCAGATTGATGATACTGCAAATAGTGATCATGAAATTTTGAGACCACTTTTGATCTTCCTCTTAAATCCTCCAAAACAAGGGCACAAACTCTGGACCTATTACCAGTGAAAGAAACACTGACAAGAGAAGTCTAAGTCACTGGGTCCTGTCCCAAGAAAGGATAGCTATGCGATCTTACTTACCGCCTTAGGAGCCACATATCCTCCAGGTGCCATGCCTATTCCAGTGGAGAGTTCAAAAAGGTCATTCAGACCACTGCTGACCACAGCAGGAGTAGGTGAAGGAGCAAAAGTTGCAGGCACTGATGATGGGATGAAGGACTGTCCAACCTGTAGAAAATACAAACAGGGGGGATAGGGAGATCAGAAAGAACAGATAATAGTCCTTCAAATGTTGCTACATATTTTAGTGGCATTGATAGATCAGTAAGAAAACACTGTAATTACAAGGTTTTTAGGAGTATAAGGTCACAAAGAGTCAGGACTGACTGGGCAGCAGTGGGTTTGGCTTGGGTAAGAGTGGAATTAGTATACTCCTTATCTTTTTTAATCACTACAGTTCTTTTCATATCACTAATAAAAAGGGCTTTACTCTTTCACAGATAGAACATTCTTTAGAAGCCTTATCAAGAGAGGACTAGGATACAGGAACGGTCATTTAAGAGTTTGTCTGTTTCCAATGTTAGCTTCCATGATTCTGTGCAAAAGGCCTTCGAGGTACCCTAATAAAGGGGATGTGTGTTTCTGCAGAAGAGGGCGAAGTACCAACTTAGACAGCAATTCCATTTCCACTTGGGTCCAGCCACATCTTACTCCCCCAAATCAGGCATAAATAGCAGGAAGCTCTCCAAGAGGAGATGGATCTTCATCCTGCCCCCAATTCACTCCTTATTAAAGAGAGCCTTGCTATGAGTTCACCTGTCTCTCTCTAGATGACACCAGGAAGACAAAGATCCCTGTAGACACCAGAGCACCAATCCCTAAAGATGTCCCTAAACCAAATGCTGCAAAGAGTCCTTTCAAGTAAGCCTCTACTACTTTCGACTCTTCATACACTGTTAGAGAGGTGTCAGTGTGCAGTGCTAGATAGCAGCAGTGGCTGGTTTGAGAATGTGCATAGGAAAGGCATCAAATAAAGGGCAGTGCTTCCCATGGTGAAAAAAATGGATGGCACTTACTGCCGGACTTCCTCCAATGCCCCCGCCAAGGTCACTGCCAAGCTGAAAGAGAGAAAGGAGAGAGAGGAGAGAGAGGTAGAGTTCATTTAGCTAAGTACTGGATGCCCATATAGAATCTGTAAATTGTTCTACCAATTGCTGGAAATACATGCTATTTAACTTGCCTCCCAAAGGATAAAGAAAGCCTAGATTGCAAAGAAATACGAGTATGTCTTAGGGGGATGGAGTGATGGCAGTGACGACGTTTGGGAATTTTGAGAAAGGCCATTTGAAAGAAGATGGAACTGGGACATCTTGGGGATGTTTCAGATCCAATCTTTCCACTGTAATATTTAGGAACAAACCCAAACAGAATTACAGAGTTTATAAATCCTAAGAAGCTCTATCACCAAGCAATAATGTGTACTGAATAGATTTTACTTTTTCTTTAAAAGAAAAATTAAGGGAGAAAAACAAACAAAACAACCCAAACAAACCAAAGTGTGCTGCCAAACCCGCTACCCTACTGAAAAGGTGGGGACCAAACCAGTATTGAGCTGCAATTTCAAATTTCAAAAATTACAGGTGGTACATAAATTATTTTTTAAAAATTATTTTAGAGTTTGGAAGTGTCTTTAAAAAAAAAAACATCGCTGGAACAGAAAGGTATCATGCATGGGGAAGTGGGAGGGAGGCATGCAATGCTTCAGATGCCTCTCACATTCCTTGTCAATAAGGTCAAACACTGTGACTTATTTGGAGTAGACCATTTAAAAAGACGCTAAGTAGTGGAGATTAGATGGCAGACAAGAAAGTAATTCCTCGTGGTCTTACTCTTGCTTTTGTTCCTCAGAACTCTGATAGAACTCATGCTGAAAGCCAGCTTCTGTGACACAAGCATTAAGGAAGAGCAGAGGGTGAAAACTGCTCGTGTGCAAAAACACAGACACACATCGTGTAACACCAAGTGCCCTGTTTTAAACACAGACGCACATATCGTATAACACCAAGTGCCCTGTTTTAAAAGCAAAATTGACCTTTTTTGGGAGTGGGGAGTTTACAGTTCCACGTTTACTTTCTTCCTAGTTCCTAGACATTCTGTCTTTAAGTTCCTTTGAATCATCAAATGCATGGTTTGCTCTACAATTAATGTCTGTCATTTGGTGGTAGATTTGGTAGAGAGAATTTATTTGTCATCTCAATGAAGTCATAAAACAGAGTTGCCAGAAATGAATCACTTATAATTGAAAAATAGTGAAATCTACAACAAAAATCTATTGCTATCATGACATAAAATAATACGAGCAGACTTCCTAACTGGCATTAATGAACCTTTCTGCACTAAACAATAAGAGCATTCCAAACCACAAAGAGCCAACATCCCCAGAATCTGGTTCCTGAAGGCTATGTAATGACACAGTATAGAAATCACATGCTTAAAGAAATGTTAAAAGGTCATTACAAATAAGAATTCAAATAACTAGAAAAGTGTTAAGTCAGAAAAGATATGACACATTTTGTTCCCCATCCCAGTCAATAGAATAGCACACTTCTGCAGCAAGACATCTATATCGCATGGAATTCCTAGATTTACTACATATGAGGCCCTGTGGAGAAGGTAAAAGTACCAGGCAATAAGCGGAGTGTGTTTTACTGATATGCATGTTCTACAAATTGAAGATTGGTGGCACTCCTGTATGAAGTCAGTCTACACCATTTTCTCCAACAACACGTGTTTCCAACATGTCTCTGGGTCACATTTTGTTAATTCTCACACTAGTTCAAACTCTTCGTAATGCTATTGCACACTTAAAAGATTAGAGTATAATATAACCATAACTTTCATATGCACTGGAAAACAAAAATTCATGTACTTGATATTCGCTTGGTTCTGGTGGTTTGGAATGGAACTGATAATATTTCCAAGGTATGCCTGAATATAAATTAAGATGCCGGTTTTACAAACTAGCTGGAGAAATGAAACATAAATGTATCAAAGTAAAAAAGGGAATTTCTGAGGAAGAGTCTCCCCTTCCTGTTTCATGGAGAATGAGGACAATGGTGGACAATGAGGAGGCAGTGTTTGAGCCCCAAAAGTGGGATATAAAAATCAAAATGGTGAGTGAGAGTGTGTGTGTGTCAAGTAGCAGAATAGAGGCAGAAGAATCAGAGAGAATGAGTAGTTCAATTAGGCTCCAGCACAGGGTAGATAGATGTGTGCGTGTTTGTGTTTTAAGCCATGACAAATAACTTTGCAAAAGGCAAGCTGATCATGGGAAGTGTAAATTTTTTCCTGGAGGTTTCTTAGATTAAGAATCAAACTTTCCCAGAGCATTGATCAATTATGCTCCCTTACTAGAGTTTTCAACCTGCTAAACACAGGTGACTTGCTTTAAGGGAGGCTTCAAAAAATACTGACTGACCAATTTGTATTCCCAGAGACAAATTTAATTGTTCTGGGTATAGTTTGAGAACCAAGATTTTGAAAAGGCTTTCTCAGGTAATTATAATGTACAGTCAATGTTGAAAGCTACATCCTAGAAGATGAACTATTATTTGGAGTCAGACAACAGTCATGTGCTTAGAAATGATGCCGGAGCGTACTCTCGAAGAAAATGAAGTCAGAAATGGACCACAGAGAAAGCCCCCGAAAAGGGAAAGGTCTCTCTGTCTCTCTCTCTCACTCACTCTCTCACTCACACACACACACACACACACACACACACACACACACACGTCTCTCTCTCTCTCTCTCTCTCACACACACATACACACACACACTCACGAAGGAACTCTGCAAAATGTTTCATTTGTTGTGTTTTGATTTGGCTTTATGATTTTCTTGATTGACCCACCTCTACTCAGTTTAACCACTGTTCCAAATCTGGCCATGCTTCGAATCCAAGCTTGAAAGAGAAGAATTCCTTATGAATCTGGTTGGCACTCAATAGCAATAAAGAAAAAAACAAACTAAAAGGGAAGCCATTTTACCACATATGCTAAATTCAGTAAAAAAACATTGAGAAAAGGTATGTGTTGGTAGTGTTTAGACCAAAGGAAAGAAAGGCCATTTATAGTTTTTATCTTCTCAGATGTCATCCCTGTATTCTTTGAGTATTATGTGAACATTAGCTGGAAAGGATCTGATTGTATTCTCCCCACTATGCTGCTGGCTAGTCTTATTCAAAATCAGGAATGAGGGAAACAACAATCCTGAAGCTCCTTTATTTTCAATACATCAGATACTATTCCGGTAAAATCAAGAAATGTGATCTTACAGAGGTCAGATTCAAAGGTGTCAGAAGCACAAGAGCTGCATCACCACAAAGGTCAGCTTTATCCAATGATCCAATGTACAGAGAATGAGGGACAGGGCATTTTCAATATACATTGTTAGCTAGACTATTACTTAGCATCCTTTCCTCTTGACTAAGAAACTGGAGTGGAGGTGATCTTTCTCTTTTAAATCATGGCACAGCGATAGCACAGTGATGGGGTGTGTGACTAAGAGATGGCAGCAAGAATGGGAGCCAATTATCCAGTGAATGGTCTCTCTTACCTACACTGACAAGCAAGGTGGAGGTGATATTAATAAAGAGAAAATGCTAGAAAGCTTAAAATAAATACACAAGAAAGTTGAAACACATTTGAAATGCTGAGCATGGCACAGGATTTTCCTGTAGGTCTGTAGCTCATACAGCTGAAGGAATGGTTCCCCACCCCTTCCCATACTTTCGGTCAGCATACCATCTCCTAAGTGAAAATCCGCATATGTGTTTCTTTTAGTAGTATCGTTCCCCCTGTGAGCCACCTAAAGCATAATAGCTGTCATCATTAAGTGGCACTGAGAATAAGATTCTGCCCTAGAGTGGCCACTTCACCATTTGTGAAGTAATGCCAAGTGGGATGCGGTCCATGCTGAATTACACAGCAATGTGTCACAGCACTGGGAATTCATTAACTGGATGGAAAGCAGTGATGTTTTGGTGATTTGTTCAAATTTATAGGCTACAGGGATTTCAGCAGTTAAAGAAGCTTACCAACAGAGCCAGAGTGAGCCAAGAGTTTGACCAGAGAACCTGCATATGGCCTTGGGTGGACTAGAGACACTAACAGGAAGGCCCATAGCCAACGGCAATTTGCTACAAAAGCAGAAATAGGCAGAGGACTCAAGACTAATGTTTTATCGAATACACCAGACTCAAAGGAATACCACCTACTGAGGTGAGCACAAATTAAACAATTAATTAATCTAGGTTAACTCCTTTGAGGCACATCTGATCAATTTAAAGTACTCTCAATGGCCTCTAAAATTGAGGAGCTGTCTCTGGGTAACTGAAGACATTTCTTCCTTACAGGCTTAGATCTTAAGCTCAGATATTTTCTTTGCTTCTGTCTATAGAGTTTTATTTGGTGCTTTATGGAACTTTATTACTCAACTGTACTCCAGTTCATACAGCTCAACAATAGTTCTGATATTCAGGAGTCAATATAGAAAGACGTAAATGGCATACAATAATTCCATGACAACAAATTTACAAGATCCTATTGGTAACAAAAATATGAAACTGTTTTTTCGCTTCTAGAAGCACATTTTATCTCCTAAGCAAAAAGTCCCAGGGTGTTTGTTCCAGCTACCAGGATGGATTTTACTTCAAAAAACATTCAGAAGTGTCACAAAATGTAATCAAATGAGTTAAAGTACTTTGTAGTCATGTAAAACTGTTAAATACATGGATGGTAAGTTTGTGGGAAAGCACAAATGAGATGCAGGCATATAAAATCATAACAGACAAGACTCCTTGAAGGGAAGAGGCATCTACAAGCAGAAAAGTTGGAGGCTGTTACAGATTATGTTGTTTTGGGACAGAGAACAGAATGCTCTAGTCCTGAGAATGGCCAGGTTTCTCGGGTCAGACAAACATCATTTTTGCATAAAGAAAACCCCTAGCGAGAAGCTCTGCACCCTGCATGATTCTCACTCACCGCCTCTAGCACAGAACATCTGTGTTTTACTCACAATACACAGGCATTTGACTGTGTCGATCCTAACAAACTGAACA